AAATTAGTGTGTCAGTAACAGTGCTGCCTGTCTTCTGCCTGACTTTCTGCCAATGGCTCTGACATGTCGGTTCTGCTCTGTCTACGCACACTGCTTACATATAATTTTGATAAGAGTCCTCTACACACGCTGCATTGAGTCTGTCAGCGACCATGTGCTCTCTGCCACAGGTCTACTGCCATTATGAGTCACCCATTTCCTGTATGCTACATGTCCATTTAATGGAGTGATAAAGAGTCTTAATAAATCATCAAACCTCAGAAAAGATTCAACAGGTTAGTAAATTTCACAATTCATAAAGTCAGTTTCCATTTCTGTCACAAGATTTACATAGTAGTGCTACCCTGACACCAAACTATAAGGAGAAAAGTGTGGTGAAAATGTATTTATGGTTTATCTCACTAATGGCATGCGTGTGAAGACATTCAACTGACAGACCTACATTACTGACATACAAAGGATCCTGCATTTATATTCAATATTCCTCATGTAACTACTAGATCATGGTGAAAATTCATGAGTCAACCCTACTGCAAACCTTTCATCTACATTTCCATTATTCTTAATTTTATTTTGATAAATATATAGCACCAAGTCAATGTATGTGCATTGTATATATTATCAGACTGAGGTGAAATCATTCAATCATTCATTTTCTTTTCGGTTTAGTCCCTTTATTATTCCGGGGTCGCCAGAGCGAAATGAACCGCCAACTTATCCAGCACATGTTTTACGCAGCGGATGCCCTTCCAGCTGCAACCCATCTCACGGAAACATACTCATACATTATGGACAATTTAGCTTACCTAATTCACCTATTGCGCATGTATTTAGACGGTGGGGGAAACCGGAGCACCTGGAGCAAACCCACACGAACGCTGGGAAAACATGCAAACTCCACACAGAAATGTCAACTGACCCAGCCGAGGCTTGAACCAGCGACCTTCTTGCTGTGAGGCGACATCACTACCTACTACGCCACCGCGTCACCATCTGAGGTGAGGTATTATATTATATACCGGGGTTAGACAATGAAACGCCTGGTTTTAGACCACAATAATTCATTTGTATGGTGTAGGGCCTTCTTCTGCGGCTAATAAAGCATCATTTCAACCTGGGAATTACAGATACAACTCATGCACAGTGGCCAGAGAGATTTTAAACCATTCTTCTTGCAGAATAATGGTCAGGTGACTACGTGAATTAATTTTTTATACGTTTGCTTAATCATATTAGGATCTGGTGACTGTGCAGGACATGGGAGATTACAGATTAGATCAACGCCACTTTCATGGTCGTCAAACCACTGCGTCAACATTCTTGCTGGGTGTATTTGTGCATTATCATCCTGATACACGCCACCGCCTACAGGATACAAAGCTTGAACCATTGGGTGCACATGTTTCTCCACAATGGTTTGGTAGTCCTTGGCAGTAACGTGCCCATCCAGGACAAGTATTGGGCCTAGGGACTGCCATGATATTGCAGCTCAAACAATGACTGATTTATTACAATGCTTCACTGTGGGAATGCAAAAATCTGGATGGAATGTTTTTTTAGGGTTCTCTACACCGTAACTCTCCTGGATATGGGGTAAGACAGTGAAGGTGGACTCATCAGACAACAATACATGTTTCATTTTGTAAAGTGCCCAATATTTTCACTGCTGGCATTAGCACAAGTGACCAAAGGTTTGGTTGGCTATAGCAGCCCAGCCCTCTTCTTCCTCAGGCATCTCAGGAGGTTTGGAATGAGCCCCCACATCCTCCGCTCGTTCTACACCTGCACTGTGGAGGGCATCGTGTCTGGCTGCATCACGACCTGGCATGGAAATAGCACCAGCAGCAATTACAAAGGCCTATATAGGATTGTGTGAACTGCGGGACGCGTAATAGGAGGTGAGCTTCCCTCCCTCCAGGACATCTGCACCAGGCGGTGCATGAGGAAAGCAAAGAGTAATTCCGCAGTATCCGATCACACAACAGCCGACTAAAGAAAAGTTTCTTCCCTCAGACTATCAGGCAGATGAACACAACACACCCGACACAGACTCTTCCATACACCTCACTGCACACCCTCAATATGTAGCATGCACTGCACTTTAACCAATCCATACTTGAAACAATGCTGCCTACAACTATGTGGACACCTATTCATTGCACATATCCCCAGCTCCTAACGAATAGTTTTGGTGGAAGGAGGAGTGTGTGCATTTACTTCTGCAGTGAGTTGTGCAGCTTTGATTTTATGTTTTCGGATACAATCCAGGTTAGCACCCGAGCATCCCTTTCAGACAGCTTCCTCTTGCATTCACAGTTACTCCCGTTGGATGTGGTTTGTCCTTCTTGGTGGCATGCTGACATTACCCTGTACACCAGTGCTCTTGATACATCACAAAGACTCACTGTCTTGGTCAAATATGCGCCAGCAAGATGCACACCGACAATTTGTCCTCTTTTGAACCCATAATGTTGTGTGCGTTACAATATTTTAAGCAAAACTGTGCCATTACTAATTAAACCTTTACACTTTGCTCTTACTGATAGAATATGCAATCAATGAATAAAAGATTGCCCAACAGGCTGGTCAAATTTAGCCATCACGACACACGAAATTAGCCAGTGTTTCAGTTTCAACGTCCAAACCCTGTGTGTGTTTTCCAAATTAACTTTAACTAGTATTTTATAGCAGACAATATGAACAAGAAACATCATCTATGAAGATGATGAACATCATCTTCATCTATAAGCGATATCACCATAGGAACTCAAAAGTACTTTGGCAAACCTTTGTCAAGTACCACAATACATAATTACATCCACAAATGCCAGTTAGAAATGTACTGTGCCAAAAGAAAGCCCAATGTTAACAGTGCCCAGAAGCATCGTCAATATCTCTGGGCTCTGAGGTATCTGGGATAGTCCACCACACAGTTGAAATGTGTGCTGTGGTCAGATGAATCAGTATTTCAGTTATTTTTGAGGATTTTTTTATGGACGCCATGTGCTCCAGACCAAAAAAGAAAAGCATCATCCTGACTCCTCATCAGCTGCAAGTCCAAAAGACAGGGTTTGTCACGGTATAGGGTTGTGTCAGTACCCTTGACAAAGGTAACTTGCACTTCTGTGGTGGCACCATTAATAAAGTACATACCCATGCGTATTTCAACAAAACAATGCAACACCACATTCTGCACACATTACAAAGTCCTGGCTGCGGAGGAAGAGGATACAGGTACTTGACTGGCATGGCTGCAGTCCCGACCTGTCTCCAATAGAGAATGTGCCATGCATTTTGAAGCTCTAAATGCAACAACGAAGACCATATACAGTTGCCCACCTTAAGACTTGTTTGCTAGAAAACCGGGACAGTTACATCAATGTTCAAAGTTACATTTGAAGCACTTCATCACTTGGTGTCTTTAGTCCCTAAATGTATTTTAAGCGCTGTGAAAAGGAATGGCAACCAACATTACAAGTGTTAAATGCTTTACTGTTCCAAATTTGTGTTAATTCAATAATATTAATATATATAATATTTGTGTTAAGTTAATAATATATATATACACACAAGCACACACACGTTTGTTTTTGTGAAAAGTGGGGACATTACATAGGTTTCCATTCATTTTATACTGTCCAAACCGTATATTATATTGCCCTCACCCCACCCTACCCCTAACCCCAACCATCACAGGAGACTGTGTGCAGCTTTACTCTCTGATTAAACTCATCCTGTAGGATTTAAGCAATTTGAGAAATGAGGACGTCACCAATGTCCTCATATTTCCCCTCCTTTTTGTAATACCTGTGTCATACCTATGTCATTATACATATTTGTGTCCTGATATGTCACAAAAACACGTACACACACACACACACACACACACACACACACACACACACACACACACACACACAAAGTCAAAGTAAATTTATAAATGACTGCTTTCTTTATTTATTTGCAGTGACATTTTTTTAAAACTTAACTGAATCTATTTTAATTTACTAGAACTAAACCACCATTACATCACTTCTCTTCTGGCAACCTGATATGTAATGTTAACGATTTCTGTAAATCACACAGTATAACTGTATATTACTGTATTGCAGTTATGCAGTAAGTTACTGCTTTTTAAAGTTGTATTGTGAAAATTATTGTATATTTTACAGTGAAGATATACATACAAAATTGTAATATACAGCAAGATAAATGGTGCCGTAGATGTAAATATACTGTAGTTTTGCTGTACTTGATTTACAGTAAGTTACTGGAAAACTGATGCCAGCAAGTTAATGTATTTTCTACAGAAAATTGTTAACTATGCTTAATATATTCCACAATCTGAAATACTGTTATGGCCTTTTATTCATACTGTAAAAGTGCTGTTTTCACAATCTACATTGTAAAAAGTGGTACAGTAATAAAAAAATGAGTTTCCACTGTCAGTCTGAGACTAAAATTCTGTTAATGAGAAATTTATTAAGCTAAATGTAATCTGTATAATATTTGTCTTTGTCTCGAGGTGTTTAAAATGGCTTAGATCTAATCTAGTATGGACTAATGACTCGTATTAATTTATAGGAATGACAGTAGTGTAATACCTAGTAAAATAGATCTGCATATTTACTATCACAAAACAAGGCAGGACAATAAAGTACAGAAGGATAGAAAACCCGTGTCTAAATGGGCAATCAAGACATGATTCTGAAGGATGTATTTGACCCACATTCATGCCAGAAACGTGACAACACAGAGCAGCTTTACATCTTCAATGGCAAACAAGCTACTAACGTTATACATTAGTAATAAAGCAATGTTAACAGGGCCACAGGTCAAAGTAATCAGAGATCAGGAGGATTGTAAAAAGTGAACACAGCTAGACTGGACGATCAGCTACCAGTACTTGACAGTTTAAAATGCGGCACACACATAAAGACACGCGTTACGATGATCAGAGATAAAGAGCGTGTTGATCGATCAGTAATATTTACACTCACCATCAGACCACTGTGACTCCACCATATCAACGCAGTTATAATCCACACAAGAGCCCTGCTGCACACTCCCCACGCCATCACGCACACATATAAACGTTTGATGAGATTACGGCAAATGTGTTTGTTTAAAGACAGTTTACTGTTTCATTGTACTACTGAACAGACTGGCTCAATGCGTTTATCAGCTCTCTTCCTCTTACTACTCCCGCGCATGCTCACATAACATTGAAGGCGGAACTGTCATATGACGTCACATGATCTTGGACGGGAAGTCTTTTCTATAAGTTTTTGCGTCTGTTTTTGCTGTATTTGTAAATTACTAATTTATAATAAAATAAATAAATAAATAAAAAAATTCATTCATTTTCTTGTCGGCTTAGTCCCTTTATTAATTTGGGGTCGCCACAGCGGAATGAACCACCAATTTATCCAGCAAGTTTTTACACAGCGGATGCCCTTCCAGCCGCAACCCATCTCTGGGAAACATCCACACACACACACACACACACACACACACACACACACACACACACACACACACACACACACACTACAGAATTTAGCCTACCCAATTCACCTGTACCGCATGTGTTTTAGTCTGTGGAGGAAACCGGAGCACCCGGAGGAACCCACGCGAAGGCAGGGAGAACATGCAAACTCCACACAGAAACACCAACTAAGCCGAGGTTCAAACCAGCAACCCAGCGACCTTCTTGCTGTGAGGCGACAGCACTACCTACTGCGCCACTGCCTCGCCTAAATAAATAAATAAATAAATAAATAAATAAATAAATAAATAAATAAATAAATAAATAAATAAATAAATAAATAAATAAATAAATAAATAAATAAATAAATAAATAAATAAATAATGTTTGCAGACAGTTTCTGAGTTTGTCAACAAGATTGTCTAAAGTAAAGTATATTTTTACCAGTTGGCTCCAAAGAGATTTTTCAATTCTAGGCAGTCTACTTAACTAAAATAGATTTGTGTACCCCTCATTATTTTTAGCAGTAGATAATCACCGCTAATATAGTATTAATAACGTTTTTCTTGATTTTATTTGGAATAATAAACCTCACAAATTAAAGAAACGTTCATACATTCATTCATTTTTTTTCAGCTTAGTACCTTTATTCATCAGGGGTCACCACAGCGGAATGAACCGCCAACTTGTCCATCATGTTTTACGCAGCGGATGCCCTTCCAACCCAACACTGGGAAACATCCATACACTCTTGCATTCCTACTCATACACTACGGCCAGTTTAGTTTGTTCAGTTTACCTGTACTGCCACATGTCTTTGGATTGTGGGGGAAAACGGGCACCCTGAGGAAACCCACACAAACACGGGGAGAACATCAACAGATGCCAACTGACCCAGCTGGCTCGAACCTGAGATCTTCTTGCTGTGGGGCGATCATGCTACCCACTGCGCCACGTGACGCCCAAAACTAGCCAAAGCAAATCCCTTTCTTTTTTACTTGCGTTTTCCATACTTTCCCAATTCTTTCTAATTCTAATAATAAAATTGCATTATTATTATGTTATTATTATTATTATTATTATTATTATTGTTGTTGTTGGGCGAAGCAGTGGCGCAGTAGGTAGTGCTGTCACCTCACAGCAAGAAGGTCGCTGGTTCGAGCCTCGGCTCAGTTGTCGTTTCTGTGTGGAGTTTGCATGTTCTCCCTGTGTTCGCGTGGGTTTCCTCCAGGTGCTCTGGTTTCCCCCACAGTCCAAAGACATGCGGTACAGGTGAATTGGGTAAGCTAAATTGTCCGTAGTGTATGAGAATGTTTCCCAGAGATGGGTTGCGGCTGGAAGGGGATCCGCTGCGTAAAAAACTTGCTGGATAAGTTGGCTGTTCATTCTGTTGTGGCGACCCTGGAGTAATAAAGAGACTAAGACGACAAGAAAATGAATGAATGAATGAATTGTTGGAGTTGTTATTATTAATATTATTATTATCTTAATTAATAATGTAGCCAGAGAAATAGTTTTCCCATCAAATTATATCAATAACACAAGATAATTGGGTTACAGTTTTTATTTTGTGGGTGGATTCAATTCTAACTAAAAAGTAGGAAGAAGTAGTGAAGAGATTGCAGTTTTTCCAATCTAATCAAATGAACTGCGTTCTTAACTCGTTAGAGACGCCTACTGGTCAAACCTGTAGATGCAGATGAATCATGCATAAAATATTTTTATCTAATTGCACTCTTGTACAAGTTTTTTTTTTTAATTTTTATTTATATATAATCCGTCAAAAACATCAGCTAAGACTCACAGGGCATACCATTAGATGTTCTGCATTATATGGGGGCATACTGTTTGACAGAGGGCACAATTAAACAAGACAAAAGAAACTTATAATTACTTTATTCCTTTTAATTACTCAACCGTCAAAATAAAACGCCTACAAATGTTGCTAGGAAACAGATTCGAGATGATGCAAAAAAAAAAAAAAAAAAAAAAAAAAAACATAACAGAATGTTGGTGTCGACCTCATAAGCCCGCGTGGTTCACAGAGTTCATCGCCCTCTATCGGAGAACAGTGTTGATGTAACGAAGCCTTGTTTGTACTCGTGTCATTTTGACCTGGAGATTTTATTTTGCCCGAAAATTCTAGTTAATGTTATTCGTTGGAAACTTACCGACTTTGGTCACACAGAAGATGTCTATTGGTCAAATTCTGTTGGGGCCAGTGGCGCCCCCAGAAGATTTTCTTAGGGGTGGCCAGAAGAGGCCACCCAGAATCTTGGGGTGGCTCACAAAAAATAATGAATTCAGTGTAATGTTCTGTTTTTTTTTTCTGGTAAATAAAATAATGGGGTTTAATTTATTATTTAATTACTCTTGAATATTTGCAATTTATTCCTTGAAATACAAGTAAGTACACATGTCAAATAAAAATCAACATAGTTTTAAAACACTTTTCATAAATATATACTTTTCGGTTATTTAATGAATGAAAAATAATAAATGAATTAATAAAACAAACAAATACAACAGTAACACAATAATAACTGTATACACAAACACTCATTATAGACCCTATAATGTCGTTTATCCGTATTCCTTGAGCCAAAATATTATTAATGCAGCTTCTTCTATTGATGCACTTAAGCTAAATATTAAATCAACATTTAGTGGCTGCTATTTATTTGTTTGATTATTGAAATATTGTGGAATTTACGTAAGTACATTTAAATTAATAATCAGCAACAAAATGGATCAAGTGGAGTTTAAGGGTGGCCGTGGCCACATCTGGCCAACCCTTTGGGGCGCCCTTGACTGTTTTATCTTGATTATTGTTTATCATAATCATGGAGGTTAAAATCGAAACTGAATTTTGATTTACAGAAATATACTGAATAAATTGCATTGCCCTGGTTAAAAGTATTACACTGAACTCGTTGCGAACTTGAGTGCATGTGTAGGTTACTAAGGGTTGAAATGGCATTATTTTATTTCGAAGTCGATTAAATTATTGGTAGGGACATTAATTGGTGGATCTTGGTGGTCCATGCCAATTCTCCGCTCTTGATACAAATTATAAAAGACGAAATTATAGGGTTTTTTTTCTGTCATTGTCACTCCACTCCGGCACAGTTGGTGGCCGTAATGCACCCAAACGTGGGTTAGCCCACCGCCGATAAACAACAGAAGAAGAAGGAGAACAAAAAGTCGCTGCTGGCTGCTCGTCCTCCCTCACACCACAAAGCTTGCTTCATTGAGCTGTGGATCGCGGAGTCTCTGTATTGGAAGGATCTCGCCGATTTCCAGCGAAACTGTTTCTCTTATTTGTTTATCTTAAAGATCGGGTGCATTTTACTTCCCGGGAAGAGCAGTTGTTTATATTGTAATGCATTTTTGTCTCTGATCTCCTTTGGTAGTTTGAGTACTGAAAAGAATGAAGTCCACTGTGATAGACATTGTGTGCCGACTAATTTGGGTATGTTTGCATTCTCAAAAGCAGGTTTCTAATTTTTGCAAGGCTGTATTAATATCTGAACCGTTCATCCTTTTGTTTAATCTATGCACGTTGTGTGCTAATATATTGCGTTAATGAGCACGTGTTCGCAGCGTGACTGGTCTCATTCACTGAGGATTGAGGTAAAGTTGATTGTATATTCACACTTTCAGACTTTCTCCTTAATATAATTCCTGAAATGTATTATTTCTTTTTAGGCAAATTTTGAATAACGAACTCATATTATGATTATGAAAGTATGTTGTTCACAGTCAAATAAGTAGTGTCAAAGTCGTTTTCAAGTCGTTCTTGCATGTGATTTCAGACCAAATATTCAAAGTAAACAATATAGGCGAGCGCATCACAAGTTCTCATTGATAATAATCATTTTCAGGGATTATATTGAGGAGAGAGTCTGAGTGTGAATATAAAACCAACTTTACCTTAATTAACTGAGTGTTTTTCTAAGTAAATTATTTAATGTAGAATTTTATAACACTTAAGTGATGTTCTACCTCTCTTTTCAGGTTGTTTGCAGTTGCAGTGGACTACATCGAGATTCTATTTGGTGTTAACCAACTTGGAAACAGACCAATCAATCTAACAGGGTAGTTCACCCAAACATGAAAATTGTAAATTAACTTTTCAAATACTGAGTTTCTTCTGTTAGAAATAAAAAATATGTATTTTGAAGAAAGCTGGAAGCTTAACTATTCACTTCTATAGCAAATAAAATAAATGCTATGGAAGTCAATTATTACATAATTTCAGCTTTCTTCAAAATTCATCTTGTGTTCAAGAGAAGAAATTGAAACCAATTGATGTTTAGTAAATTTTTATCTACTATTCCTTAAGTGTCTTTTGATCTCAGAGTTAACTTGCTGTTATGACATTCATTGGAACAGGTTGAGGTTTGTAGTTTTTACACTGTGCTGTTAACTTTAATGCTTAGTGGTTAATTTAATTGCATTGTTTTTTTGTTACTTTGTCATTGTATCTGAACAATTCTGTTTGTCTTGCTGTATGTAATAAAGAAAATTGAGCACTATATTTGTGAATGGTAATTATTACACTCTATAAAGCACTGTCTTTGAACCTGTGTAGCCCATCCATGGCTCAGCGGGCCAAGCAACAGTGCAACAGTAAAGGGTTGTTATAACTGGAGCCCCTTGGCTTTTCTTCCCAAGTTGCTCTTTTAAAAGCAACCTACAAATGACGTTTTCAAATTGTTAGTACAATTGAGAAAAAACAAACACCACAACTAGAGTTATTTTGCAAAAGCCGTTGATCAGTTTCTACACACAATCATGTTGTCTGTATGGCCAAACACAATATTAACATGAAATATTGTGCAAAAGAAATAACAATTGGTAAAGCCACTAAAAACAAACAGCGAATGGCAACATTTTAGCGTAAACAATGATACAAAATAATCACGTTAAAATCAAAGTACATCATATTTGGAGTAGAGTCCAAAACTCTGGTGGAAAAAGCAATTTATGTTTGCTGACACCTTAGTACCAGCTAAGATACAGACCTTGTCATGTATGTTGGCTATAAAACACTTCAGAATTGTCAATTCCTCCTAAACATATGATAATGGTTGAATGTCAAAACTCATTCATAGAATTGATGGCAAAGGTTACTTGCCAATGATTATTCAACAAAAACTACATGATTTAATACACCACATGATCTTGCAAACAGAAAAACAATGAAGAAACAAAGCCAACCTGGCAATGAACAACACAGATATCATCACTTGTATAAGCCAAAGATAGACGAAAATGCTTTGTACATTCAACAATCTTCTCCACTTGCGCACAACATATGAGCTCATCTGTATTGAAAATAGAATAGCACTTATTTTGAGCACTGATCTGAAAATATGATGCGAGGTCTAGCCCAGTGGTTCTCAATGGTCTTGCTTCAATACCCAGATTTTACAAATCCTGGAATATTTTAAAATGACTGTGCAAAATAATTTTAAAGACAGGTTAAGCAGGAACATCTACAATTATAGTTATTGACTGTAACCGTCAACAATGGGTCAGCGCAAGCTTTTTTGTTTTAAGAGAGTAACACCATAGAGTTCTGTGCAAAAGTCTTGATTTGTCGTTTAAGCAGTAGTATATTTATCATGTATAATTACCTCTCTATTTTTTTACTTCAACATAATTGAGATGAAGTCTATTAGACAAATAAGGAAAATAAATAAAATAAGCCTTAATCAAAAGATGAAATTGGAGAAAATCTGTTATATTTCACAATAGTGTCTGCAAAACAGTTCACATTTTGTTTAGTGCCCTGGAAGGTCACACTAAATGCTGACTTTTCCCACAAGAAGTCCTTGTGTTTATATATAACTTTATTTTTTTTCCATGTGTGTATTTCTTTATGTCACACTAAAGTTTAAGCTAGCAAAATTCTGTCGTACGGTGCTGCGAAAGGGGGCAGGAATGAACAAGATGATTAGACATTTAAATAAGCCAGCGATTGGTCCATATTTAAAATTTCTGTCCAGAGTGGACAGAATGGTTTCATGTTTGGATTGGTCTCACGCTGGCCCCGTTTTCACTAATACGTTTTAGTCTTAAAACAGCATTTTAGAATAAAAACGATCTGCGTCCACACTAGCGTTTCTGAACAACTCTGTCTACGTCACTCCGCTGAAAACGCACACCACGTGACCACACGCAGAATATCTTCCCAGATGGGAGCTGTGCACGTCAGACTGTTGATCAAGGATCTACCGCTGGATCTTATCTCACTATATTTGTTAAACGGGATATTTAATTCATCTTATTATCTATATCTAACCACATACTCTCCGACTTTGGTCCTTTGATTCTATTACTTTTCACGGGTAATGTGTTTTAGCTGAGCGCAAAGAGTTAAAATATTAATAAATGTGGCCACGGACACTGATTCTGCACATTTGACTGATTGCTTGCATTTGTTTTCCTAAACAAAATGTACGTTATGCTTTTATAATGGCCATTATTGAATATTAAAACTGATATTCAGCAAAAGAGAGGCTATGTTTTGTACTTTCAAGGAAAATAAAAGGAGGCATTAATGTTATAGACTCGATGACGGTCATAAATATACTGTATAGCTACACAACGCCTCAACACTTTGGGTGTCTGTTAAGTTGTCATCAAATTGAAAATAGGCAGTTCCTTACATCATGCTCTTATTTTATTGTTAAGAAAGTGAAACAACGTAAACGGTGACGTGAATGAGGTTCTAAAGTACACTGTTCCCTTGGAAGATTTACCCGACGTGTCCTCAGGAGTTTGTTTTCCATATCAAACTTGCTTAGTCTGAACTTACAAGGAGAGGATGCAAGACTGAACTGTGTGTAGGCTACTTAATATTGAGGACAAAGCCCCAATCAGATAGACGAATGTCTGCAGCAATGCCTCCGTTATCAGATGTCTCCATTTTCCCCCATCAACACTGAGCAGCAGCAGCAGTGTTTTAGAATAAAAATGGCCTCTTCAGCCTTTCCAAAACGCTCCGTTTTTGGGACTTGAAAACTCCGGCGTAGTATGAACGGATGGCGTAACCACAGCAAAACTTATGCAATTTAAAACTAAAACGTATTAGTGTAAACGGGGTCGCAGTCAAATTATGCGACTTTGCAGGTCAGAGTTCACCAAGCTTGAACTTTGCAATGCAGTGAACTGCGAAACTTGACGCACGAACTTGCGTTTCCAGTCTGACATGTTCGCATGCTTATGAATGGAAATCTATGAGGAGAAAAGTCTAGTGTGACTGCAGCTTTATACTTTCTGCTCAGTACTTTGGAACAATCAGTGTAATATTTTCAACATTTTTAGTAGATTTATTAATGTTTTATTGAAACCCAAAATACAGCCAGCGTGGATCAAGCTCTGTGAGGGGCGCTAAAAGAGCAGGGTTAAGTTGGTTGTATTTTCGATATTCCTGACACTTGATGATAGACGGCTAAACTCACACAACTCTTACTGTAAAAAGATCTATACTGTGTTTCCTACAAAAATACAAAGCAGGTTATGTTTCCCAGCTGTCTTTTTCTGTTTTCGCTCGATATCATGAGCACTGCTCCATTTAAACCCTTTTTGGCAAAAAAAAAAGAAATCAAGGTTAATTAGTTAAAATTAGATTATTTTAAATGTCACCTATACTGCAGTGCATGAACTAAGCTGTTGAATGGTCAGTGTATGAGGCGGCTAGGCTAAGCTAGCTTCAATTTTGATTAAATTCTAATCGGTTGCATATTAAGTTGTAAATATACCCTCGTAATGCATACTGCAGGCCTTTTTTGTCTCGCTTTCTCAGATATCTCACCTGTTTGCCAAAAATGACCAATTATATCACTGGAAATGCCTGACACTGGCACATATTGTAATAGACATGGCAGGCAGGAAAACTAGACGTAACAACTAGGTGTAACAAAGCGTAACTAGGCGTAACAACAGTAACTAGGAGGGCGGGGCTTAGCGTAGGGTCAATTGGATCCTCATTGTAATCCTTACAATTATGTTTTTTTTTGTTTCCTGCTCATATACTCTCAAAATTATTCCACATAGATGCACTTTTTTTTAATTATGCGCAGAAAAAGCGAAACAGTCCACAGATTCAGTTTGGCCCTAGTCAGGATATTAGTTTGCACTCTTAATATACATGCATTCACATATGACTGTTAAATGTCCAACAATGTGAAAGCCTCCTTATGTAATGTTTACCACCAATCTTATTTTACCCATTGAGTTACCATACAATACTCTTTAATAGCCAGTAAGAAATTCCCAACAAACAGCCAACACAGTGGTTTTAATCCTGTGACATGCATTATCCCCTTTTATTTAAAAATCCATGTTTCGTCATCTTAACTATTCACGTTAGTAATTTAGCCAGTGAGAACAGACCTGTGACCCACCATTTGAGAACCACTGATCTATGCCCACTGCAGAGGGGCTTCTGATATCACGCATAGAAAGCTCTTGAACAGGCTTGAGAAGGGATCGCTTGGGGATGAGGGGGTTTTCGGCTGGTGTCCCCCCTCAAGCACAGTGAAATTGATCTAATTGCATAATCAGATGCCACACAGAGGGCTCAGGCAGCAGTGAATGGAAGAGGATAATTGTGGTACTGGTAGGTCTGTTGTGTCTAAGACATTATTTGTTGGTAGACGCACATGACAATCATGATAAAAATCATAAATGGATGCAAATGTCCCCTTCTGGCTTGTTGTTTCAGTTAAAATGTCTGGATGCATCTATTATTGATGCTCTGTGCACCCCAGGGATGCACAACTTCAAATAATAAACTCTGAGGTGGTTTGCAGGCACTCTGTCTCACCAAAAGTCCAGTGAGAGCCCTCGAATAATAAATCGCGTGTGGCCAGGCATCAGGATACTGCAGGAAGTTGTTTAGGTACTGCCATTCAATCCCTGGACTTTTGGTAAGTCAGCATGTATCAAACAGAGGTAGCGCGTACACTTCAACTCATGGGCCTTTCTAGGCTCTACACCGTCTTTTCACTAGTTGTTCGACATTCTTTATCTATGCATTTTAGTACATCACCAAAACCTGTTTGAGGGCCTACAGCGTGTGCCTTCATGTGGTCCCGACCAAATCAAAAGCAAGCAAGCAAGCAATATCGTCCTTTCTTTTAGTTATGAATGTGTTCAGATTTTTCACAGCTCTGTTCAATGGGCAAGGTGGCACCTGTAATTTTCAACTCTGGTTAAGTCTTGCCCTCATGGTATATATATATTTTTTTTGTCATTTATAAAGAAACATCTCTTCACATGTCCTCGAGAGATTCTTTAGGATCCAAGGTTTCTTCGTCCCTCAAGGCACTGGCATTGGAACGTGTGTCCATGGCAGAGTGCATGATAGGCAGCCAGACATCATCCATGTTTGGCATCACAAATATTTTCTGCATAAATGGAAAGGATTGAGGGTTAAGAAAATTAAATGAAAAGGTCAGCAATGTTTGGTGCTTAAACAATTTACTACTGTATTAGATTTAGAAGTATTTGACTGCAAATTTGACATGTACTTTCTAAAACAAAACCAGTTACTCGTATTAGTTGGCAACTATGAGCCTAAAGCCTTAGCAAACAAATGCCATAAACTAATATGTTGTTCTTTTAATGCTATAGCATTTAATGGTAGTGTATCTTAAAGGTGCAGTAGGTGATTGTCTTCAGAAGCATTTTTGTTGTGCAGGCTGAAAGTCTCTTCATAGTCTAATAGTAATGATTAAGTAAATTAGTAAATAGTAAAGTAAATAGTAAAGTAAATTATCTAAATGTATTTTTATATTTTGGGTAAGGCATAAAACAAAAAAAATGTTCATCCAATAAAATAGTCAGGCCGACATCTCTCTTAATTCCGATAAGTAGCCCAATCTGTCTGTCAGCAAATGCAGATTTGAACAACTGCGCAGGCTTTTGTACGCAGCTCCGCCGATTGACGCGCGTTCACGAGAGAGGGAGAGAAAGCATGCGCACGATCGGTAAAAACCTGCTGAATCAAAACTTTTTAAAAACCTGAATTAATATTGGAGTTACCTTTGCATGCTGGAGAAAGGATGACACCATTTCTAAAGGATTTCTTTTAAACAGGTAATGTTCTGTTTTAAAACTGGTTTAGCTTCACGCAAAGCTGATGTAACGTTGGATGTTGTTGTTACAAACGGGTTATATCTTCACAGAAGTGTTGTTCAGACACTAAAATCTTTCGATGAAAGATTGATAAGACTATGTTCAGTTTCATAAGCGACCTTTTACAGCATTGATTATGTAGATTTTAATTAGTTTAACAACAAAACACAAGTAAATAGCGCTATTTCGCCTAGTCTCTCCATATATTGTTTACCATGCAACTCTAAATATTCGCTCTGAAATAGCATGTCAGTTTGGCTTGCACGCCGCCAGATAAGCACTAGTCGCTTTTAACACATAAGAGAGGGTTCTTTTGATGTGCTCGTGTTTAAGGAGGCGTGGCTCTAGACGGCAGGGGAGGGACTGTGATTCTGAGATTTATGCTAAGTTGTTAGCATTGTGGAAAATCACCTACTGCACCTTTAAAGTGTAACGGAAATGCACACAGCATATCTGGGTCCAAATAAGTTATCATAGCTCCAAGCCTAATAACACTAGTCAACATGAAGTGGACCAAAAGCTTTCATCAAAGTTGTTCTGAAACCAATAACAATCCTTACATTTATATAGCGCTTTTCTGGACACATGTGCTTTACACATTGGGGGAATATCCTCATCCACCACCAGTGTGCAGCATCCTCCTAGAATATGCGATGGCAGCCATATTGCGCCAGAACGCACACCAGATTGGTGGAGAGAAGACAGAGTGATGAAGCCAATTATGACATGGGGATTATTAGAAGGCTCTAAATAGACAGAGGCCAGTGGGCAAATTTGTCCAGGATGCTCTTTTTCGAAGTACATACTGGGATTTTTAACGACCACAGAGTCAGGACCTCGGTTTAATGTCTCATCTGAAAGATGGCGCTCACTGAGGAGTATAAAGTCCCTGTCACTATACTGGGGCATTAGGACCCACACAGACGAAAGGTTGGGCACCCCCTGCTGGTCTGGAAACCAAAACGACACCTGTTCTTGTCTTATGGACAATTTTGAAAACCCATTTGATCAACTTCAGATGTTGACTACTGTATACTTCTATTGCATTAAACTGACAAGAAAGTGTCAGATTAAATGTTTTTGTTTGTTTGTGGTTTTGATCATTTATATCCTCTTTCATACAAGCATCTGCTAAATGATCACATGCAAATGTACATGAAAATCCACATATGTTTACCTGAAATTCCTGATCTAGTTTTTTTTCTATCCAGTCTGTCACATGGGCAAAAGTAACCTCCCTTTCTCCCAGTTTTGGCCGAGCTTTCAGTTCCAGACGAGGAGGCCTTCTGAAACCATACCTGGAACAAACCAATATCTGTATAAGCACATGTTCGCAAAGCAGTATGAAAACATATTCTAGATGGATTTTTTTTTTTGAAAACCCATGATCTAGGGGGGGGGGGTGGGGGGGTGTGGGGTGGGGATGGGGGGTTATGTGCAGATCTGCAGAGTGGATGCGCGTGTACTGAAGAGCGGTGTTATCGCGCGCCTACTGAAGGGCGGGACCGAAGGTGTGCCGCGTCGCGGGGGCACTTTTGATCATTTTGGAAGGGCACTTTCTATCCAAGACTAAAAAGGGCATGTGCACTGCACAGGTTGAGCCCTATGTGTGCACGTGCCTGAAAGCTACCCAATCGAACCAAAACCCATTAAATCACTAACATTCCATCTCAATAAAATGTATAAACTCTTAGTTATTAACTCTATATTTTTATACATATGATTTAATCATTCTCCTTTTACTATAACATTTGTTTTTATTTTTTATATTTTAACTTGGCCATTAGAAAAAAAACTTTGCCTTGTGTAAGTCTAAGTTTTTTATCGTCTCGAAAAGGTCTTAAATTTGTCTTGATGAAATCTGTAGAAACCCTGATTTCTTTAAAATAATCTTATATTTCTCACTTTCTAAAATATTACAAAAGTCATCTAGTAAAGTTCTGTGATTTTTATCTATGCAATACATTTTAAATTAAATCTTTTCAGGCTTGAGTAGCCAAAAAAATATAGAAATATGACCAGCAGATGGCATAATAGCAAAGTTGAGGATGGCCAAAGATCAGACGACAATTCCATGCAGCAGCAATTTGAACTAGACATTAAATAATAGGCTTTACCATATTCTGTCTGTTGGAGGTGGGGGAATGTTAACGGCAAGTGTTCCTTGGCACTCCTGGACCTCCACCGTCAGGAGCAGCGGAGTATTGGACACTTCTTCGATTTTCTTTTTAATGAACTCAGTCTCTGTGGCTTTCTGGAAATACTTGGATTTGGCAATCTTGTCCACAAAGCGCATGATTTTGCTTGGTTTGTGTCCCCCAACAAAACTGTGAAGAAAGTATGCAGTGTTCTACAAAGGTTTATACATCTTTGATTCATAAACCGATTCTGGTAGCATCTAAAATCAAACTTTCCTATTATATAACAGACAAACAAATCTCTTAACAAAAATGCTGAAGGTGTTCAAAAAGTAGTACACAAAATAAACACATTCATACAGAAGTACATAAAAACTACTTAAGAAGTTGTGAACTGTAAATACTTATTTCAACTCTGTCTCAGTACTTTGCATTGTGCTGTTAAATGGTTATGAAGTTTATTATGAATTACACCACATCCGAGAAAAGTATTTATAGCGCTTTACTTTGTCCACATTTTTGTCACTTTGTGTCACAGCTTTATTCCGAAATGATTCAATTAATTTATTTCCTCAAAATTCTACACACAATACCCCATAATGACAATGTGAAAAAAGGTTTTTTAAAATTGTTGCAAATTTATTAAAAATAAAAAAAACTGAAAAATCACAGAGGTATTCACAGCCTTTGCTCAATACTTTGTTGATGCACCTTTGGCAGCAATTACAGCCTCAAGTCTTTTTGAATATGATGCCACAAGCTTGGCACACCTGACTTTGGGAATTTTTGCCCATTCCTCTTTGCAGCACCTCTCAAGCTGTATCTGGTTGGATGGGAAGCGACGCTGTACAGCCATTTTTAGATCTCTCCAGGGATGTTCAACAGGATTTAGTTCTGGGCTCTGGTTGGGCCACTCAAGGACAAACACCGAGTTGTTGTGAAGCCACTTCATAGATATTTTGTTGGTGTGCTTTTAAGTCGTTGTCCTGCTGGAAGATGAACTGTCGCCCCAGTCTGAGGTCCAGAGCACTCTGAAGCAGGTTTTCATTCAAGAAGTCTCTTGCTGCATTCATCTTTCCCTCTATCCTCCTGACTAGTCTTCTAGTTTCTGCTGCTGAAAAACATCCCCATAGCATGATGCTGCCATCATCATGCTTCACTTCAGGGATGGTATTAGCCTGGTGATGAGCGCTGCCTGGTTTTCTCAGAATGTAACACCTGGCACTCACTCCAAAGAGTTCAATTTTAGTCTCATCAGACCAGAGAATTTAGTTTCTTATGGTCTGAGAGTCCTTCAGATGCCTTTTGGCAAGTTCCAGGTGGGAAGTGTCTTCCGTCTGGCCACTCTACCACATAGGACTGATTGGTGGATTGCTGCACAGATGGTTGTCCCTCTGTAAGGTTCTCCTCTCTCCACAGAAAAACGCTGGAGCTCAGACAGAGTGACCATCGGGTCATTGATCACCTCCCTGACTAATGCCCTTCTCCCCTGATCACTCAGCTTAGATGGTTGGCCAGCTCTAGGAAGTCCTGGTGGTTGTACCTGAATGTACCTGAGCTTAATTTAGAGCTTCTCTGCAAAGTCTGTGAATACTTGCGTACACGTGATTTTTCAGGATTTTTATTTTTAAAGGGCCATGAAACCCCCTCGTTTCAGCAGTGTGTTTTCACACCTCTACTTTGGAAAAAGTCAGAAAAGTGGGCGTGTCCAGCTCTGTTTAGGGGGGAGTGTCGGAGGAAGAAAAGCGGCTTGGTATGGGAGTGTCTATTTGGGCGCGCTGAATTTCAGAGTCAAAACACACACCCACAGTGGACAATGTGACTGTGTTTACATGGACATCTGTAGTCGAATTATTTGCCAAATTATTAAATGGTGGACTTTAACTGCAGTTTGGCTCTTTCATTCAGGGAATTCATTAATGTCCCTCCCGACAAACGTGATATTTGATTCGAGGATCTGCTCTAAGCGTGTATTTTTCATGCAATGTTTGATACCGCACGGCGAATGAGAGAAAAAAAACCTCAGCATTTCCCGGAAACTTAGATGCGGAAACACGGCAGGTAGCGGCAGGTAGCGTCAGAAAGCCGCATGTGTTATTCCGGTCACAAAATCCAACACGAGGTTAGAGTTTGGTTGTAACTGTTAGTGCTAACTATTGCACTCGGTGCAATAGTTTGTTTGATACGAATAAAATACGAACTGAATAAACAAAGAGCACTGGTCGCTCACTTACCAAATCTGTAGAGACAGGACAATCACCAGCAACTAGACCCGTGTCTTTATTTAGAGGAGACTACAATCTGGATCTCAGCGTTTGCAGATGAGAACAGCTCTCAGGTAAACAATAATCCTCCTTAGACACGTAAATTATTGTTGTCGAGCGTCGCGTACACTGTTAATCCACGCCTGAGTCTGCGCTCTCACAGAGAGAAAATGAAAATGAAACTTAACTGCAGCAAACTATAAAAGCAACACTTCACGCTTGTTTTGCCAACACAACGTGGCGTCCTTGCCGTCTACACTGTGACAGTAATGAATATTAATGAAGTTGCACAATAGAGCGCGCTGATTGGTTTGAACCAAGCCTTACTCATGCATTAATGCATCACACTGTAAGACGTAATAAGACTCACTCTGGCACAGACGCCCAGTCTGCATGCTGGAATACAACGCTATTATGTCATGACCGTGACGCAGCTTCAAAAATTCGTTTCAAACAGGAAGTACGAATTTGCTTGAAATAACGCAAAAACAACTAATTTACACTTTTTAGTGAAATATAGGTGTCCTAATAGTGTTTTTAGCAGTGTGGGACACATATACGACTGTCAACAGCTCAAAAAATGTGTTTTGGTGTTTCGTGACCCTTTAATAAATTTGCAACATTTTTTCACATTGTCATTATGGGGTATTGTGTGTAGAATTTTGATGAATTAAATGAATTTGATCTATTTTGGAATAAGGCTGTAACATATAAAATGTGGAGAACTTGAAGTGCTATGAATACTTTCCAGATGCACTGTAACCAGAAGGACAATCTCACCCCTCCACCCCTGGGATTTCAGGCACTTCAACAGTATCTTCTTCATCAGAAGATCCTGCACTTGATGACTCTTCATCACTGTCGGCCAGGAAGTAAGTGCGGGGTCTGGATCTGGTGCATGCACAAAAACAAATAAAAGCTTAATTGGCTTTTTAAAATGATTATAACATGTTTTCCAAAAGCAAGGAAATGTGCAAAGCTCCTGCTACACACCTGCACTACAGCTGAAATGGTCCTTTACATAGCTATTGCACAAAGAGTTGTTTTTTTCACAACAAAGCTACAAGCTCTGTTTCAAACCCCAGTGAGCTATTATACTATGTCATCTTTTACATGTTTCGGAAACAAACCATTATGTACCACTCATCACTATCACAGAATGCAATGTAGCATTTAATCAAGGGCTTGGAACAGAACTTATGAAAGCACATGCAGACCATAGGGGATGTGGTGATGTTTCAGCGGTGAAGTGTTTATCTGCTACACTTTAACATATGAAGTGAAATTTTGAGAAGCAGAAAAAAACATTCAGCGTATAATGAGAGATTTCAGAAAAGCCCTGATTCAACTTACCAATAAAAGTTCACATCCATATAGTTATGAGTCCAGAGGAAACAGCAAAAAGAGTAAATGATAAATTCAAAAGAAAAATAACCCATCAAAAAATAAATAAATAAATAAAAAAAGACAACAATAACAGCATTTCACAAAAAAGCAAAAGCTTAGATATTTGATTCACATCATGAGGAATATCTGAGAACATACAATGACAATTTTGAATGAATTGTCATCCATACTCTTACCCTTCTTTCCCCTGTTCCCCAAGGCCTTCTCCCTCCTTTCCCAATCTGGTCAGGTTCATTTTGGTTTCAAGAGTCATGAGAAAGGAACCATTGTAGGATATCTCCAAGTCAAACCAAAGGCCTATAAAAAGGTAAGAAAAAAAAATGGATTTGGTCATTAAAAAGAGTACTAAAAAATGGTGTCAGCTCCATTTTACACTTCGAATGAAACAACTCAAATCACCTTCCTAGAGTATAACAAGCACTTCACAGTTTTTTTATGGCTATTTTTTAATATACGTTCTTAAGCAATCTTGTGTTCTTATTGTAACATCATCATCAAACACCAAAGTTCAGTTCTAAAACTAGACAGCAAGAACAGAGGACGCGTGACTGAACTCTGATGCATCCATGCAGACTCGAGTGCAGTACTCGCTTTACAAGTCATTGCCACTGTATGAAGCAGGCAAGAAGCGCAGCATATTTATTATTAAAGTTCAGACATAACTTAATTATCTCAGAAGTTTCCCTAAATGAGACGGTAAAACTAAACATTGACATAAAAAGAATAACAAAAGCATAAACATAATAGAGTGTTTATTTGCTAAAATTCCTATTAAAATCAGTTTTATTTGAATTGTGCAAAGTACATTTGTAAGGCTTTTGTGATTGTTATACATATATTGAAAAGAGATCGATGTATTGAGGATGTAATGCTGAAATAATTTCCTGTTAATAGCATGTAAAGGTCACATGATCATCCGGAAGATCGCAGCATCTCATTTCTCAAAGGATGCGTTCTGTGTTCTCAAAGTCTCCCGAGTTTATTCTTTTGAGGAAACTTGGCAAGAATGGTTTTTGGAAAAACACGAGTCCGTTCTCTGCATTCTTGGAATTGAGAAACAACCCATTTCTCCTTAACAAACACACCTAATTCAGAGCATCAGCTCATGTTTTATGTATTTTAAACTTCTATGAAATACATATATAAATTTTTTAAACTATTTTACTATTTTCCCCAAGCGTATACAACTACTACTGTAAGAAAATATCAGCATTTTGTACATACTTTCAGTATTACCTTTGCTTGAAAAGACCCAATCTAATCCTGTTTATATGAAATAGGCCTGCTCCCGAGCAGGTTTGAGCTACCAGATCTAGTCTGACAACAACTCTCGCATGAGTTTTAAAGAACAACATGATCTTGATCAAATCATCAATATCCAAATCCAGCTAATTGAGTGATCCATGTACGAAGAACGAACCCCAGGAACAAAAAGTTATCCATCGCTGACACTGATTTTTTTTCTTCAAATTATGGCCAAAAACAAACTACTTTAATTTATGCCTTTATACACTAAATTGCAAACGTTGTGCCCTGAATACAGGTTTGTGTGCTTGTTTATTTATTGTCACAGCAGAAACCTACTGGCTACTTAATAGGAAGTTCAGAGATCTAATATATAAAAAAAAAAAAAAAAATAATAATAATAATAATAATAATAATAAAAAAATAAATAATATATATATATATATATTCATTGATTTTCTTGTTAGCTTAGTCCCTTTATTAATCCGGGGTGGACACAGCGGAATGAACTGCCAACTTATCCAGCAAGTTTTTACGCAGCGGATGCCCTTCCAGCCGCAACCCATCTCTGGGTAAAAAAAAATAAATAAATAAAAAAAAAAAAAAAAAAATATATATATATATATATATATATATGTGTATATATATATATATATATGTATATATATATATATATATATATATATATATATATATATATATATATATATATATATATATATATATATATATATATATATATATATATATATATATATATATATATATATAAAGAATGTAAAACATGATATTTAACTTATTTTTTTTCACTCACAACGAATAACTTAAAAATCATCCAGGGGAGATGATTTGAAAAACATCCATAAATCTACTGTCAGTAAAATATTCTTGCCTAAAAACCTTTAAAGTTTTACAATCTAGCAAAACATGGAAGGGAGTTACATATTGGTGGTGCATTGTTCTTCAGTAGTTAAGTTAAAATAGGTCAAAAACTTGCATCTCATTTATACAGTTTGGCGCCTTAAAACAAATGTAGCTTTCGTTCACATTTCACAGATTTAAAAAAATTAAAAGATCTACACCCAGCATGGGTTCACACTGATTAAATGGATGCAGGAGTTGCTAGCAAACCCCTGGCAATTTCAAAAGCCATCCTGTCATGATGCGCACTTCCTCCTGAGCGAGTAAAAGGTCAGTGCTTGAGTTTGCTACACCCTGATTGGTTCAGAAACACACTGATCCTCCAAGCTCAGCGGTCTGCTTCCTAGATGACGAATGAGAAGTTTAACAAGCTGGCAGGAGCTGGCTATTTACCAGATAACACACACTCACTGAAGCAGTGACTGTAGGGGTGCTGCGCAATCAGTACAGAGCATTAGAGCATAGATATGACTTGACTGTGTCATTGAGACCACAAAAAAGATTGTTTATGACCAGACTCTTATTTTAATTAAGACATGAACAAGGTCATCCAAAAACGTGACTCCTATATATTTTTTGGAAACAATCTGTTAAGATGTAAAAGCCATCAGAAGATGGGTACACTGTGGTCATAAAGGGAATGACGTGGTTGGCAACAACACTCAGGTAAGCTCTGGCATTAACATGATGCCGAATTGGTACTAATGGGCCCAAAGTGTGCTAAGAAAATATCCCCTACACCACAGGTGCCAAACTCAGTTCCAAAAGGGCCGCAGCTCTGCACAGTTTAGTTCCAACCCTAATTAAACACACCTGATCAAACTAATTGAGTCCTTCAGGCTTGTTTGAAACCTACAGGTAAGTGTGTTGGAGCAGGGTTGGAACTAAACTGTGCAGGGCTTCGGCCCTCCAGGAATTGAGTTTGACACCCCTGCCCTACACCATTACACCACCAGCCTGAACTATTGATACAAAGCAGCATGGATCCATGCTTTCATATTGTTGACAACAGAATTCTGACCCTACCATCGGATTGTTGCAGCAGAAATCGAGACTCCTCAGAGCAGGCAACGTTTTTCCAATATTCTATTCATCAATTTTGGTGAGCCTGTGTGAATTGTATCCTCAGTTTCCTGTTCTTAGCTGACAGAAGAGGCACCCTTTGTGGTTTTTTGCTGCTGTAGCCCATCCGCCTCAAGGTTGGACATGTTGTGCATTCAGAGATTCTCTTCTGCATACCTCGGTTGTAACTGTTACTGTTGCTTTTCTATCAGCTCAAACCAGTCTGGCCATTCTCCTCTACCTTCTGGCATCAACAAGGCATTTGCACCCACAGAACTGCTGCTCACAGGATATTTTCTCTTTTCAGACCATTCTCTGTAAACCCTAGAGATGGTTGTGTGTGAATATCCCAGTAGATCTGCAGTATCTGAAATACTCAGACCAGCCTGTCTGGCACCAACAACCATGCCCCGTTCAAAGTCACTTAACTCCCCTTTCTTCCCCATTCTGATACTCAGTTTGAAGTCCAGCAGATCGTCTTGATCATGTCTACATGTCTAAATGCATCGAGTTGCTGCCATGTGATTGGCGGATTAGAAATTTGCGTTAGGTGTACCTAATAAAGTGGCCGGGGAGTGCACAAGCATCAATTTAAACATATATTTATTTCATAAAATGATAAAAATGAAGCAAATAAACAGAAATATCACCATAATATACTAGTTAACTGTTAATTGGTAAACTTAATTGTATTATTACTTTACATGAAACAACTGTAATCTTTCAAAAACCAAACAAAAGAGCTTTCATTTAGGTGAAAATCCACATGGAAGCTTCTCTTTAAAAAAATCCTCTTTCTTTTTTTAAATACAGATTTATATACACTACTATGCATGTTGTCAGTGACTCAAACCCACAGGTCTTTTTCTGAGGGTGTGTGGACAGTACAGCATACTGAGTATTCCCACACACGCACGCACGCACGCACCCACCCACACACACACACACACTGTAGTACTGGTCAGGCCTTACCTTTGTGATCTACAGAAGGTTTAGAAGAGCTGAGGATCTTGGGAATGGATATTCCCATGTCTAACTCAGTCAGAGTCAGCTCATTCATGAAGTATGGCAGCTGAAATAATTAAGACAAAAATAAGTTCCGATTTTAAAATAAAAACTTTGAGTCTGGTCTGCATCAGTACTCACCCTAATCTTACTCAGCTTTTTCTGGATCTTTTTGGATACCACATCTGCCCAGTATTTCTCCCTAAGAAAATCCCAGAACATGCGACCCAAAAGAGCATTGATCCACGCCTCTGTTTCAGCGCTCTGTTCACAACTTTCTGGAAACTTTGACAAACAAAACAGAAAATATTAATTTAGACTACAGAAGACCACGGCTAATTTCATTGTTTAGTGGTAACGTGGGAGCAATTCACAGTAGATATTGATACAGTTTTTACAACATCCTCAAATATTTCCTCAAATTGTGCCATAAAAGGGCAATGGATGTAACCCTGATTAAGCACGTTTTCCCATTTACATGGGCAAACAAAAAGATCACAACTGAACCCATATGTAATGACTTAGTCAACTAACTGAACATGGCCCATACAATGGTAAACCTTAAAGGTCCCAAGAAGTGCTTTATAATATGCATTTTTACTCGATGTTTGACGTAAATCTCAACCAAAACACAATGAGAGGGTGGGACAAAGCAGTTCCTCCCCTTAAAAAAAACAGCCAATAGTGTTTTGTTTTATGACAGCTCTGCCAGTGAGTGCATCAAAGGAAAAGCAAATGAGAAGCATCTTGGTTATGATGTGATAAGAAACTGACATGGGGTGACATGAATAAATGATGAGGTGAGTGTTTGATGGCGGAGTCATCCGACACAAATTAGGCCCTTCTAACATCTGAAAAAAACTTTCACGGGACCTTCTAACATTTAAACTTAGGGAATGTGTTTTATGATACAGGTTACACTACTGCACCCTCACTCAACAATGCCAAAGTCTAAATTTACGAGTTCAGTCATGTCTGCCTTTCACACAGTAATAACAGTAAATTGCAGTATTTTTACTGGAACAAATTTACTGGTAAAAAAACCCCACTGAATTCTGGCAATTTACTCATTCTGGCAACTCTACTCATTTTTCCATTACCTGAGGGTCTATTCTCACAAACTCTTCATGTCAATTTACTAGAAAAGTTTGTATGTGTGAAAGGGAAAATTGACAATTTGACAGATCACTAAGCCACACCCTAAAACTGCCACACACCAATCGTGGCTCAGCAACTGTAGCTACGTGCAGGAGGTCTGTCAATCTTTCAAGTGGGGGAAACAAGCAAAAGCGTTGTGGATATGGATTCTGAAAATCTAATACACGGTATTCAAAACGTTTGGACGGGGTGGTGGAATTTTTTTCCTTTCCAAAACCTAAAACCCAAGGGGAGAAACGCCAGCGTGGATCAAGCTGTGTGAGGGGCTGTAAGAGCAGCACAATCCAGTCATATTTCCAACTGTTTCAAGCTACGAATATTTGAAATGACATATCAACAGAACAAAACAGAGATGTGATCACAAACTGAGCACTTGTGATCAATATACTTCACCCTCAGCTGTTTTTCAGTAATTTATATCCCTCATGTCCATGTCAGAGCTACAATTCACCAATGTTTCAAGAGTTCACACTTAGCTGATGATTGATAATAAAGCTAGTTTGGCGTGCTGCCCCGGGAGAGAGCCCTGAGCTTATAAGATCCTCGAGCCCTGGGCACCCTCCCGTTGCAAGGCGAGAGGGGGAGTTTGAGCTCAGGTAGATCTCGATGACTCCCCCTCCTGCTTATTGTAGCTAAGTGTCAGATATGGATGCTGAGAAGGTGTACTCAGAGTTTGGCTAAAATATTTTGGATTAATTGTTTAGGGTGCTTGTTTTGAGCTTTGGGAGGAAACCGGAGGACCTGGGGAAAAACCCACGCGACCACGGGGAGAACAAGCAAAACTCCACACAGAAATGCCGCTTGGTTTGGAAAGGAATTAATCCAGGGGCATTCTTGCTGTGAGGCAACAGCGCCAATCGCTGGCCACCGTGACACCCATTTAAAAGGAGGCAAAGTAGGGTTGGGTGAGGGGGTTTCTTCAAGATGAAGATATTGAGATAAGAAAAGTCTGGTTATTTATAGTGCGTTACGGATCGTCTGATAGGATAATCAGTCATTAGCTAAAGTTGAAACAGCTGTGAACAATCATAAGCACATGATCCTCTCGAAATTTGTTTATAAATAAACTTCACAATTCGTCAGCCTTTTGGAGATTTAGTCATTGGTGATGATGTTATAGCGGGTTAATGTCTGCTTTTATATTTGGTGTCGGATTATTATTTGCTGGTAAGGAAAATATATTTGTTCACCTCTGCTATTTATGCTTTGATTTGCATTTTAATGTATTTATTTTTCCACTTAACTGCAAATTAGGAAAGAAACGGTATAAAAAGCACACAAACATACTGACAGTTATAGGTCCTGCACATTGTTATGGGTCAGTGATGCTAATAGTTGGCACAAATCTATCAGGCTAGGCTTTAGCTTCAATTTTGGTTCAATTATTTTCCAATCGGTTGCGTATTATGTGGTGAATAAACCCCTGTAATGCATACTGCAGTCCTTTTCTGCCTGGCTTTCTCAGATATCGCACCTGTTCGCCAAAAATGACTAATTATATCTCTGGCAATGTCTGACACCGGCACATACACATTGTAACATACATGCCAGGCACGAAAGCTTGACAGGCATAGCAACAGTAACTAAGGACAGCGGGGCTTAGCGAAGGGTCAATCGAGTCAGATCAGTTGAGGTTTGGTGTTAAAAAAAGGATGAAGGCTTTCAGAAATAAGTGAAAGGTTCGGTGGCAGATGTTTTGGAGTAGCACCTTTTTAGTGGTTCCAGGACTGCTTCCAGCACTCTGAACAGGGCTCGTGGTAGGGCTTCCAACTGATTGGCTGACATATTTGGCCATATAGACGTTGTATTCCAGAACTTTCTGTTTGACACTGGCACCGAGGTCTTTTTGTTTGGGATGAGACTGGAGCACTTCATCCAGACTGCCACGGCTGCTGCTGCGACTGTGAGACAGACAGCCTGACAAGAGAGAGATCATGGTGAGGACGCTAATTATTCTTTCAAAACACGAACAGAAATGCTTCATCTGTAAAGCATTGACTTCATTGCTATAGAACAAAAATACCCTGATCAGAGTAGAAGCTCTGATTAATTAAAATGCCAACCAAAACAAACTCTGGATTTCAGAACAATCTTTTAAATGGGTCTTATTTAAGATCTATTAAACGATTTGATGAAAGGATCATTTGTAAAGATGAGTTTTAGTCTTACTTGTAGGCAGGCCTGAGGGCTTCTTGGCTTCGGATTTCAGTTTAGATGCAAACAGCATCCTTCTGAACCATTCTTCTTTATCTCGTCCTGTCCTCCCAAAGAGGTACAGCACAGGTTCTGTGTGCAGTCTCTTAGGTTCCTCACTAGTGCTTACTATCTCAGCCTTGTCTCCGGCTGTAAGGGTCTTCTCCTCCATCACCTCTGTTTTTTCTCCCTGGGCTTTGGCAAGGAAATCATCCTGCTTGGCCAGCTCAATGCAGATGGGATACTTCTTATTCCACACCCTTTTCCTGGCCAGGTTGTTAGGTACCAGGTAGACCTGTAATGCAAGAATTCTTCATTTGTTTAAAAAAATACTAAAATGAATTTTAGATTTTAAAAGTTTGGCGAAACAATGTTATTCAATAAGGAGGACCAGGAGTGACGAATCAAATTTACTCATAGAAGCATAAAAAAGGTTAACAACAGAGTTCATACGGTCATGGAAAACCTGGAAAAGTCAAGGAATTTTGATATGGCATTTTCCAGGCCTGAAAAAGTTTTGGAAAAACAGAAAAACCCACAGTTTTGGAAAAGTCATGGAAATTACTTTGACAAATATCTGTATAGTTGAATTAGGGCTGCACTATATTGAAAAAAATCTGACTTTACAATATTTTATATTTCTGTGACGTACATTGCAATGTTAACACAATTTTACCAGATGATTTAACAGGTTTATTTGGATTGATTGGGGGGATTTTGTAAAGGAGTAAATCTATAAATAGTCTATATTATTTAATCTTTATCAAAGTTACAAAAAAATTCATGTGGCTGGATGTTTTAAATTTTGAAATATTTACGATATCGATGCTGAAACGATATATTGTGCAGCCCTAACTTGAAAATAGGTTAGTTGTCTTTATTTTCAGTCCTTGGCCAAAAACTTGCTCTCACCTTGTTATTGCTGTGTAAGCATTATCAAAATAAACTTTCAAAAGATATAAAAACTCATTTAAACAAAACTTTGAGATTGTTGCGTGTTCTATGATATGATACATTTAAACGTCATTGTTTTTCTTATTATTTATCAGGTAGACATTACATGAAACATTACGTCATGAAAATGTACTTGAAAGTTCTGGAAAAATCTTGGAGAATTCATGGAATTTTAGTAGTAAATATGTGTATGAACCCTGAAACAAATAAATCACATTTTAAATGTATTCAAGAGTTCACACTTAGCTGATGATTGATGATAAAGCTAGTTTGGTGTGCTGTCCCAGGAGAGAGCCCTGAGCTTATAAGATCCTCGAGCCCTGGATCAAAACTCCGCACGGAAATGTCGCCTTTCAGGGGCATTCTTCCTGTGAGGCAACAGCGCTAATCGCTGGCCACCGTGTCGCCCGTTTGAAAGGAGGGAAAGTAGAGTTGGGTGGGGGGTTTCTTCAAGACGAAGATATTGAGATGAGAAAAGTCTGGTATAGTGAGTTACGGATCGTCTGATAGGATAATTAGTCATTAGCTAAAGTTGGAACAGCTGTGAACAATCATAAGCACGTGATCCTCTCGAAATTTGTTTATAAATAAACTTCCCTTAATGAAACAATCCAAATGTATATAATTGTGTTTTAATCAAACAATACATTTAGAATTTTTTTTTTTTAATATATTAATAAATTCAAATTTAAATCTGTTTTTTTATTTCTGTTTTAATGGGCTGACTAATCAAACAACAATATTGTTATATTAATAATATATTAATAAAACGAATTGAAAGCACATTTTAAATGCCTTTTAAAAAAGCGATCAGCAAAGGCTTTTCCTCTCTTTGTTGTTTAGCAGATTGCTTCTCGTTATCCGTTTGTCAATCGAGTTAAAAATGCCATTGTGTGTTACATTTACTAGGTTTAAGGTGAAAATTGATTGTTTGCTTCCACGCATGTACTGACCAATGGCATTTTTGAACTCAATTGACAAATAGATAAAGAAAGGACTTTGGGGGAAAAAAGAAAAAGCAGTTGTCAATTACAAGGGGAGAAAAGCATTTGCCAAAATAAAAAATGATTTATTGGTGTATTTTTATTGTTTGTTTTAAAACAAGAATTAAATACTTAAAATTGTCCATGTATTTACAACTTTAACAGCAATTTTATTCCTATACTTATAAATATATTTATATTTTTATGTTTGAATTATTAAATTGGTTTATTTTATTTTTAAGTGTCACTGCTGGTCCTCCATAATTCCAATGAATGATTAAATAAAATGTTGCACAAGAATGTAGATACATGAAGGCATTTGAATATACAACAAATTATGCAAAAACAATATAAAGAGAGAGTTTACCCAAAAAACACTAAAGACAACATCAAAGTTATCACAAAGATAAGACAAGTTTAAAAGATCTTAAAAAAAGCAGCTACTGACTTCAATAGTAAGAACAACAAAAAACTATACAAATCAATGGCGTTTTGTCCTCCAGCATTCTTCAGTAGACCTGCTTTAGTGTACAACTAAAGAAAAAAAAACTCAAACAGGTTTGGGACAAGTAGAGGACGATTAATTGATAACAGAATTTTAATTTTTGGCAGAAATATGCATTTAACACTTTAATTTCAAGTCCTTTTTTTATCTTTCTTTGACTTGGATTGAAAAAAATAGTAACAAAAACAGTATACCTGGTCTCTGTGTTCAGTAAATAACATTAATGGTAATTAAGAGTAGCTTTAAATAGTGTTACAGATGAAAAACAAAACAGGTTGTATGTCACACTCACCTTACTGTTGGTGAGATCATAAATTTTTTGGCTAACATAGGTGACATCAGGTTTGAGTTCACTGAAGGTTGCCCGACGGGGGATATTGCGGTTAGGTTTGGACAGTCGCAGGACAGAGCCCTCCAGACGCACATACACAGAGTGAGTGAGTGTGGCGTGATATGTCTCAGGGTCATAACTGCAGATCTCATTCATCCAACCCTGTGTATACAAGCACAGACATTTATAATAAACTTTTTTACAACTAATGTACTTTTTTTTCACACAGTTCCTGGTTGTTGTGTTGAACATTTCTGCCTATTTTTGTGTAAAACAATCTCAATCTGTGTAGTATCAAGAACTGTTGAAATGGTGACAACCCAAAAGGCAAAACAAGCGAACATAGCAACCTACAGCTTTCACCTTTTCAGAAATGAAACATTTCTTGTTAATCAAGCTGTGCAAGGCAGGAATAAACATAAAAGCACTGTTGGAAAACAGCAATGTTTCGCAATCCTTTATAAATAGCGTGATTATTTCATCTATAAATCCGGATCTGTTCTGGGCATGACTGTATAGAAAATAGAACAGAAAAACCAAAAGCTTTCATTTAATAATTCTTGCAAAGACCAACTGGATATTTAGTGAAACTAGTTGAGCATTTAATACTTGACTCATAATATCTAAATGGAGAAATATGAACAATTCCAGCGTTATGGATGTGACATTTGCAGTAAAAATTTAAAGCATAAATTCACATAGACAATAAATGTTAACATTATATTGAAACATGTTTTCATTTTACAAAACAACTAAAAGTCAGTATCAAATATCAAATATAAAATGTCAAATATCAATCTGTACACATTTTTTATAGTTTGAGGAAATAAAACAAGCGTTAAGCATGTGACTAAAAAGTATGCAAGCTTATAGTCTACAACATACTTTGTAGAAATTCAGTGAATTAACTTACCAACCCAAAAGAAACAATGCTCATATAAAGCTGGATTTATAATTTCGCCTGGCGCCACATCGCGCACCTCCGCTGACTGTGTGCGCACCTCACGAAACAGACGAGGCTTTTATACTTGCTGTGTTCGCCATTGTGATATTCTTTAAAACGACAGGGGGCAGTCAAAAGGAACTGACCATAAAATCAGTTGGATAAACAGAGAAGTAGGACGTTTCCGGAACTACGTCCTATCATTAATATCATTCAAGATTTTAAAACAAATCATTTTTATTATTTCTATAAATTATTTGAATGATTATAAGGATTTTTATAATCATTCAAGATTTTGATGCATCACTTGCTTTTGTTCATATCTCGGACTATTAAAGTTTATTGAAATATTAATAACAAGAGAACATAGGTTGTTCAAACAAAGTACACTTACTAAAAAATACAGATGTTTTTTTTTTTTTTTTTTAGATTTAGCCCGCTCCACAATTCACACATTACTGTCTGGCTAGCTTCTGTCCTCTTCTTATGATAAAAAGACAATAATAGCCCAACATTCCTGACCATTATCACCAATAAAGCCTAGAAAATCAGGGCATCAGTATATTGTAAACCGATAGGTTCAAATAATCCTTTCCAGTTATCAAATAAATAATTTGTTCATTAAATTTAGTTTTGTAACTATTAAGTTGGTTTAAATTCAAAATTGTAACATAAACATCAGTATAAAACCTATGAATGGTGGAAAAACATATTTCTGTAATTGTGTACCCGGGTCTCCTCTTTTGGCTTTAACAAACTTATCCCTCAGGTTTTTACAAAAGTTTTAACAAAAACTTTCCTCCTTTCCCACGGCTGTTGCAATTTCTAGCCAAGAATTATTGATCATCTGGTTATCTATATGTTATAATTCACTTCCCTTTTAATACGTTTTGGTGCGATTACAACACGCTATTTAAAAAAAAAATGACTAAATGTTTTGAATGAGAAGCTGTAATGTAGCCGTGGCAGGATGAATTTTGGTGTGGCGACCACCAGGAAGAATGAATATAGTGGAAACCTTGGTGTGCCAGAGCGCAGTTCACTTAGGCTCAGTGCTTGTAGTGTGAGTGCAAAGCGCGCCTGAGCCCGAAACTAAAAACGAGACGTGACTTTTTATTGACTGTTTTATATGGATTTATTAATCATTTTCACTGTTCAATGAACGCAAACTGTCGAAGATTATTAAAGACGCAAACCTCACACTGCACGTCAGCTGCACCTCTGGCAAACCTCCTAATTTCTGCAGCACGAGGACTTTATGAATGTATTTGAGCGTCAAAAGTGGCTGATCTATTAAAAAATGACATAACTAAAGAAATCTACACTGTGCTGAGCGAGAGCGCTTCTTACTGAACAGCGCATCAATAATGACGTAAGCGTGCTCAGGCATGAATGCAATGCGAGTGCGCGCTGTCAGAGGAAACAGGAAGGGGGACAAGCATGCTTCAGCCTGGTTTAAGGCAACTATACATAGTGTGAGTACACCCTGGGAATGTGTCAAATACAAATGGACAAAACATTTGCATCAAACTGATTGAAATTTCAACTCTTCAAATTGCAGACTAGACCACTGTACCAGAATCACGTTTGGCAGTAGGTTGGAACTCACCTTGTAGATGGCTGGTTCTTTGATATCCAAAGGAACCCTGTTCCATTGATGTCTTCTACTCAAGCTGCCATGACGGCCCCAAGATGTTTTCTGTCTTGCCGACAACCACACCACTAGAATTGCCAGCATGAAACCCGCCGCCACCCCCATCAACACCCAACACACATAGGAAGGCAGTGGCAACACAAAGTATCCATAAACTATAGATATAAGAAGAATCAGTCCATTGTGAGGTACTCCCGGAGGCTCATCTTCCTCTTCCTCCTCCTCCCCTCCTTCAGTCGGTTCCTCACTGCATCCTGCTGTACTCCCTCTTTGTACTAGGGATATATGAGTCTCTTCTCCATCTAACTCCATATCAGTGCAGAACTCAAAGTCTTCGGTGTAAAGCTCACAGAACTCTTCATCTTCCTGGCGAGCGAGCGTTGACATAAAACACCGGTCCAATCCTAGCGAGGGTGACCTATGGAGAGGCAACTCAACAGTTGCACTCTCGACAGGGCTTTCATTCTCCAGATCTTCCTCCTCCTTGATGCAGTAGTTATTGTTGCTTTCTGAGTGGCCATTGAGGGCAGACAGGTTAGAGAGTTCAGAGGCGCTGGAGGAAAGGTTTCTGGACCGGTAAGACACTCCTGCAGCCGTAGATGAGGAAGAGTTTGCGCTCACACCACCGGGTTCCTCGCCAATGATTTTGCTGAGCAGCTGAAGGGGTTCACACATGACCTCTGAGAGACGGCGCTTTGTGTCTTCAATGCGTGCTTCCACTTCCTGGACTTTAAAGAAAGAACGGCTATCGGGGGAAGTGAGGGGGGATGAGGGAGCAGTTTTGGAGTCTCCACTGCCACCAGGAACACGTGTTTGGGTGAAAGGTTTAAAAAGATGCAGATTGAGCCTCGAATCTGGGGGTCGAGGAGTTGACGAAGGCTCCTGCTCAGGTCGAGCAGTGTCTGTAGACAAAGATTTAACTAGAGTCTTCATCAAATGGCGGTGCCTTACCGACTGGGGAGCAACAGTGGGAGCCTCTCTAGACTCTACCTCAGAGGAAAGTGACTTGACTAGGCTGAGAAAGGGCTTAGAAGGTAGGGCCTTAGCTGGTGATGAGCTGGAGGAAGCTGAATGGGTGGAAGGTAATGGGGGAGTTGACCTTTGCTCAGAGGGCCATGAGAAACTAGCAAGATTAGAAGTAGCCGTGCAGCCCAGGCTAACAGAGGGGTGCTGGATAGCTAAGGCAGAACTTTGAGTTTGGCATGACATTCCTGTAACCATGTCTGCTCCCAGTCCTTCAGAAAGAAGCTCCTCGCTGGCTTCCTGAGCTGTGACTATGCTCTGATCTTCAGTTTCAAGGCCAGAAGGGGAAACAGCTAGCCTGTAGAGCTCCTCTTCCTCCTCCTCTTCCTCATTGCCCTTGGCAGAAAAATGTATGGTAATGGTATCTCGGGAGAGCGACCTCTGCACCTGCACCTTACGGGCTGCTGAGGACCGAGAAGAGGAGGAAGACGGAGGGCTTAGCGTGTCTTCATGGCTACCACCCTTACTGGTCATGGCACCATTCAAAACAGCTCACAGCCTGTGGGAAAAGAACAGAGAATGGTTACAAGTGATACACACTCATACAAAATAAACATGAATTGAATTCTTACAAGTTCATTGAGAACAAAACATTTCATAATTTTCAAAGACTGTGGCAGAGGATTTTTACACTTATAATCGCTGATGGTGTTTGGTGCATTGGCTTTGGCAAGTCACCTGGCTTAATGCAGTTATTCATTTGCAAAATGACATTATTTAATGGACAGAAAAGTTATTCTGTTGGTTGCTTAAAGAGTTCATATGCAGCTCATGACCGTGTTTTTGTGTCTCAGTGTACAGTAAATGCCGCAACAGGGTTAAATTTAAGACTTTAAGACATTTTAAGACCATTATGAATGACATTTTTGACCCATAAAGAGCTAAAGGCTAAGGAATTTTTTACATGGCCCAGATGGAAAAAACTTAATTCATTAAATAATAACATAATAAATTATTAAAAAAATATTTTAGATTTTATTTCTTAGCAAAATATTCTAAATATTATGTAAAACTTGTATTCAAACCCTTTTATCCCCAACATAAACTTAAAAAAAAAAAAATAAAATAACGAATTTTTAAAAACTATAATAAACTAAATCTATGCTTAACAGTCTGTCCAGGTCGGTGTCCTCAGCAGTAAATACATGAAGCACTTTTAAACAAATGCTATGGTAGGTAAAATAAGTCCACCATTATGATACATAGAGTTAAAAATGACCTTTTAAAATGAAGTGAGGACAGACACACTGAGGAAGGCTTTGTGCCGAAACGTCTGTTTATCTGTTATCACCCGTAAAATGTAAGAAAAAGTAAAAATAAAAACAGTACGAAGCAATCAAGTGCGAATCATTACCTTCTTTTGAATAATAGTAACGATCAGATTAACGCACCAAACCAAAGAACTAAAAAAAAAAAACGCAAACGCGCAGGACAAACTTCAGTAACTCTGCACATATAATACATCACCCAAAAATGAATACTTTACATTTCATTAGAGCAGGCATTAAGTCTCTCAAAGTCATATGCATCACAGTAATCACATTGCATTTTTGTGTGTTTTTGTTTTTGTTTTAGAAGGTCAACATTTGAATTGAATGGACACACAGATCAAATTTATTTCCTGCTAAAATGTGATTGTTTGTGTATAAAGAAACAAGACTTTTTAGATTTGGGGTGGCAAGAGGGCAAGTAACTGAGGTTAAGTTGGTTTTAAATTCACAAATTCATTCAGTGGCAACTAATGACATGCTCCCTGTATTGTTTACCATAGAGGCAAAGTTGGTTTTAAATTCGCACAATTGTTCATTTAGAATTCTCTATATTGTTTACCATGTTACTTTGAATATTCAATTGGAATTAGCATGCAAGTATGACTTGCAAGTATGACAACACTGTTTATTTGACCGTGAACATATGTTGTACTTTGATCATTTGCTGCTAATATGATTACGCTATTTAGATTTTGTAAATAATACTTTTATTAAATTATATTATTAAGGGAAAAGTCCGAATGTGCGCATATAATGCCAACTTTACCTCTATTTGTTTACCATGGTACTATGAATATTTGGACTGAAATCAAATGCAAGTATGACTTCAAGACAACATTAGCACTATTTACTTGACTGTAAACAATGTTGTTCTTTGATAGTCATTGGCTGCTTTTATGATTTCACTATTTAGAAACTGGCAAGAACACTTTTCTGAAATTATACTATTAATTATTAAGGAGAAAGTCTGAATGTGTGAATATAAAACCAGCTTTACCTCACTGGGCAAGTAGTAAGATTTTTTTTTCTTAGTTTTTAGATGAATTTTCCCCTTTAACAGACTGGTTCAAACTACTGCCGTTTATCAGTACAATGCAAGGCATGACACACATTCATGCCGGTCTTGTCTGATCACCCATCAGGCTACACAAGTCATGTAAGTATGCTTGCAACAATACATGCTTAACCAGTTTGTGCCAGCCATAAATGCAACATTCCACTTTCAGGTGAGTCAAAACACAGCTTTATTTTTAAATATACTCACACACACAATTCAATAATCTAAAGACTAATTTAGACTTTAGATTATTTCAACCTGACAAATCCCAAAACAACAGACTCACCAAAGAAGAAGATTACATAAAGCCAAAGCTAGACACCAGTCAAAGGAAACATGTGGACTATGCATACGCAACAGACCTAATGACACAAACAAGGAACACCTGAACACAATCAAAGACAGGAATGAGGAACAAAGGGGACAGGAAACAATGAACTGGACTGGACTATGAACAGGAATAAACTTCAAACTAAAAGACATCACATAATAAAAGACATAGATTTAAAAATGAACAAAAAACTACACCAAATAGGACAACACAGTGCCAAAACCAATCTAATATTATTTAAGAGATCATAAAGAAATAATATAAACCATTATCTGTTGACATATAAAAGGTTGTTGTGTTCTATTTTGTACTAATGTGCAGTGTTCAGCTGTGGAGAATCATAATCTCTGCATATTCAATTTATAAGTGACCTTAATTAATCTTAATCTGTACAAATGTATTGATATGCACTAGTACTGATGTTCCCATACTGTCTATGCATCTGCATAATCAAGCCATTGACTGAACAGTCACATGCACAGCTCTTTTAAGCAGCATGAGAACTGTGCAAATTAGTGATTCTGGGAAGATCTGCGGTTATTGTTATGCATAATAAATGAGGTGTTTATTAAATGTTATCTTCTAGTAGCACTTTCTTAACACATAAGAACAGGATATGTGCTTTTCATGTTCAGTAATGTTGAATGTTCCATTGCTTTTAGTAAATGAAATAATGTGGCAGTTACGTTACATTAAAGGTGTCCAAAACTTGCAGTTTTTTGTACTTACAGTAAGTTCTTTTACAAGATGGTTTATTCAGGGCTTCAAGGGATAACGGCAATGTGTGTGTAAAAATTTGTTATGAGGGAAATAGCAATCGGAGATGTCAAACCTTCTCTTTAATTATATATATAATGTAAAAAAAACTGGAAACAGTTTCCATATTTAAAGGGCACCTATTTTACCACCTCAGGGCTCAACAATAAGGACAGCCCAGTGGCCCAGGGCCAGCGTGAGAGACGCTTGGGACAGTACACAGGATCATTACTGGCCCGATTGGGACAGTACTGCCTTGTCACTAACATTTAATTTGTCTGCGACTATTAGTCAATTGCGTGCATTTTAAGTTTGTGTTTTTAGGTCTTTAAACAATACCTTGTCTGTGATGTAGTAAACAACATATTTCTTTAAGGTTCCTCTTATCTGATTTGATGTTTTGAGCATGCTATTTTTTTCCATAACCTGGTAACAACCAGAACAGAGAAGAAACAGCAACATGGCGGCAATATCAAAATATAAGGCTAAAAGAAAATGTCTGTTTCTAATGTCTTGGAAGCAGACATTTACATGTGAACAACGTGACAAAAAAAATGAAGTGATGTTTTGCACAGTTTGCCGTCAGTTTGACAAGTCAGCCCACCTTTTGTTAAATAATTTCGAACTGTAATAAAATACCTCCACATTTTCCATACTACTCTTTTTGTTTGCATAACACTTTGATTAATTTTTTTAAGTATTAAAATTGTAAATTCACAAACTTTATTTTTGACACATTATTTAAAATATGCGGCTAAAATATAGCTATTAAGTTCTTTTTTTTTTTTTTGGTGGGGCCATTGAAAATTTTGGCAGGGCAGGTAAAAATTTGAACTACTGGCCCGATCAGACCAGTACAAAAAATCCTTAGCGTTGAACCCTGCACCTTTTAAAGATTTAAGATAAGTCGTTGGCAGAGGTGGGTAGAGTATCCAAAAATCTATACTCAAATAAAAGCACAAATAAAACATGAACCACAAAATACGGAAAATATGATTCATTTACAGATATATTTATTAGTGTACACTGTATTGCTGGGCATTTGTGGCTTAAGATCTGGGACAAAGTCCACTTATCGCTACACCAAGCTAAGAAGATAAGTGTATTTGTTAAGTCAACAAAGGCACACTGCAGTCAATAGGACAGCTGGTCAGTACTCCACAGGGAGTGGAGTGTAATGTTTAATACGATAAACTAATGAAGCTTTAAACCAAAACACACTAATCATGCCAAAAAAAGCTTCAGTATTATCTGTCTATTTTGTCAGATCTGAGAAACCAACTAATCATCTCAATCATATTTTTACTAATTACACTGGAGTTATTTTCCATATATCTAATGATCTCTTGGGTTGACTAAAACCGTCTTAAGAATATATAATAAAGGCAAGCTTTGAAGAAAGAGAATGCTGCACTGGCAAGAGAACCGTTTGAAGTACTTTGACAACAAGGAATGAAAGGGAGCAAAAGAGAACGCCGAATTTAAAGCTGATCAAAGCAGTCAAGGGCAAAGCACTAAAACAACGACTGCAAAGAGATGCATTTCCTCAACTGAGAGACAGGACGCAATTAGGGTACACAGCCAGAAGCAGCTTCATCGGTCCTTCGTTATGGGTCAATGTTTATGTTCCTCATACTCTTCATAAAAACATTGCACACTATTGACTTATTTGTCCATTACATCGCAGACATTTTTTATAAGATGTCCCAATAGTCCCACAGAATCTCTATTCACTGAAATATTGTATCTAATATTAATATTTGTAATATTGGTTAGCACTGCACATCAAAAAGGTTGCTGGTTCCAGTCTCAGCTGGGACAGGAGGCATTTCTGTGTGAAGTTTGCATGTCAGAGCCGCACTATTCTTAAAGTGACAGCGCGCAATTTTCCTGCTGCCGCCTGTTTTTATCATAAATCAAACAACAGATGGAGAAAATCCCTCACTGCTCTTGACTGAAGGACTTTTGTAGTTTTTATACAGTGAAAATGCTTAAAGCACGGCTTGTTTCATATTTTTATTCTATTGTATTTATTTCCCTTTCCTCATTCACATGGAGGAAAATATCTGTGCATATATACAGTT